AAGTCCTGCCCGAGACCCGAGAGGCAGATGCCCAGGCAGTACCCGAGACAGGGGAGGCTGGAGTGGAGGTGGTCCCTGAGACCGTTGAGGTGGACACGTGGGTGACCGAGGCGCTGCTGGGGCTGCCCGAAGCTGCAGAGCGGGAGCTGGAGCTGCTCCGCTCCAGCTTGGAGCATCAGCGAGGGGTGAGCGAACTCTTGCTGGGCCGATTGAGGGAGCTGGAGGAGGCCTTCGAGGCTACAGTGACTAGGCCTCAGTCTCGAGAGGTGGCCATCCAGACCACATTGGGTTGCACTGAGAAGATCACGCAGACCGACCTCCCAATGGAGAACCAGCCCAGAACCATGGTTGGAGATGAGGTGGCCCCTGCTGGTGAGTCTCCTCCACTTCTGGTTGAAAGAAACTTGGTTTTCAGATTCCTGAAGTCAAACTCAGTACCCTCATGTGATTCCCTGCCAGGCATCCTCAAATCCATCATGAAGAAGAAAGATGGTATTCCAGGTGCTCAATCCAGTCAGGGACCCAAGAGCCTGCAGTTCGTTGGGGTCCTTAACGGAGAGTGAGCGTTTCTCCCCTTCCCCAAGATAGCCATGGGGGAGGAGGGACAGCAGACTATTAATCCCAGCTCTGACCCTCTGCTCATAGGCCTCAATCTCCTCATCTTGAAAATGCCACTCACACCTCACAGTCCTCTTGAATGGACTCACAGGGGAGGCTTAACAGGTGCTTCCCATCTTTTTCCCAGGTATGAGAGCTCCTCCAGCGAGGATGACAGTGACAACGAAGATGGCAGTGCTCAACTCCCCAGGAGTAGCTCTTCCGGGTCAGATGATAGCAGTGGGGGATCTGATGCTGGAACTCCTGGCCCCACCAACAGCAAAGACGCCAAGGACTCCAACCTTGAGGCACACCCAGAGCTGAAGGCAGGAACAGAAGGGAGGTGAGTGTTCTCCAAAGGTCTGGAGTGTATTGGATTCCCTCTCCTGGTCATCATTGCCCAGGATCCTGAGTCTAGACTGGCTTCTCTGGCAGGTGTGATCTGAACCCACGTTTAAGGGAGGCGTGCATTGCTCTGAATAGGCAGCTGATTCGGCCCCGTGGACTCAGCAGAGATGGCGTGAGTGTGTGGGATACCTCTCCTCACTGACATCCTCTTAGGGAAGAACGCAGGGCTTCCTAGAGCAGGAGTACCAAGTTGGTCCTTTCTCACTAGAGACAGTCCTTGATCCTTACTTCTCCAAGAAGACTGTCCCTAGGACAGCTCTGACCTTTTCTTGACTGCCTACCTACTGCCCCAACTAAGGATCAGAGCCCCAGACCCACTCTGACACTTCAAGAGCAAGTGGTGCTCACTGCAACACTCATTCCTATTTCACCATAATGTCTATTTTCGTGACCATATGAATCTCACTGTACTCCATTTTTGAAGAGGAGTCTCCACCTGGGTTCTTGACTCCCTACTTAGAAAGTGTTGGCCGGCTTTCCTTTTCAGGATAAACAAAGGGGTCTAACACGCACACCCCATCCCATCCCATCTTTTATCAACACTGATGCCTTGTTTGCCCCTGTCCTGCCAGAGTGCAGCACGCCTTGTGGCCCAGGAGTGGTTTCGAGTGTCCAGCCAAAAGCGTTCTGAGGCTGAGCCTGTAGCTGGGGTGCTTCGAGGGGTGAAGAACCTGGGGCCTGAGCTGCTCGTTCATGTGGTAAACCTGTCTGATGGCAATGGAAACACAGCCCTGCATTACAGCGTGTCTCATGGCAATCTGGCCATTTCCAGCCTGCTACTGGATACAGGTTAGGGTATTGGGTTGTGGAGAAGAGCACCAGGATGGGTGAAGGCTGGGGTTGTTGAGGGTCATAAAAAATGCTGAGTGGCAGATGATTCCATTGGGCCTCTCTCAAGCTATTGGTAGGTGGATCATTGGTCATTTGGCCAGAAGTCAACATTGGGTGTTTTCCTCTATGACTCTCTCTCGTTTGTCTTCTGAAATAGAACTTCCCATTGAACCTGGAGCTGTTTGGCTAGCAAGTCCCATCTGTTTTCATCTCCCCAGTCTTGAGGTTACAGACATGGTGCTCAACTTTTATGTGGGCTCTATGATTCAGGTCTGGTCCTCAGGCTGGCAGTTGGTGCGCTAACCCTCTGAGCACTGACTTTATAAGGCCTTGCTATGTAACCCATGCCTTGTCTCAAATTTGTGACCGTGCTACCTCTGCCTTCCAAATACTGAAATTACAGAGGTGCAAAGGCCTTCTGACCTAACTGTATCTTCAGTTGTCCTACGTTAGCTCCTCCACCATTCACAGTAACACCCAGTTTTGAGATCAGAGACCTCAATGTAACACTTCCCTTCCTTGGTATACTACATTCTTCAATATGTAGGCCTCACTTTTTTGGTTTTTTTAAAAGATGAGCCACCATGTGGGAATTGAACTCAGGACCTTTGGAAGAAGAGCCAATGTGCTTAACCTAAGTTATCTCTCCAGCCATCCCACCTCCCTGCTTTGTTTTCTTCCCTTCTTCCTTTTCTCCTTGTCCTGGACTCTTTGTACACCAGGCTGCTTCTGCCTCTCTGAGTGCTGAGATTAAAGGCATGTGCCACTACACCCAGCAAACCTTCCCCCACGACCTAAGGTCTAAGTACCTCTCGCTGGTCTGGAGCTCTAGTGGTTTTAAAGGCATGTGTCTATGCCTGACTGCTTCCTGAGTTCTTGGACTCCATAGTATCTAGGCAGGTTACTCACTGGTTAGGCTTCTAACTACTATCAAGCTGGAGTACTGCTTGTTCACCTTCCTCCTGCCTCCTCTTATCCCCCCACTGAAGCAAATACACTTACCTGGATATTTCTTTATGAAATGTAGTTGGTAGTGCTCACTCATGTTTTGCCTTTGCAACAATGTAGAGAGGGGATAGTGAGCCACAGACTAACCACTAACTTCAATTCTTTGTTGTGCCCTTCAAATCTCTAGTTGCTCAGTTGCTAGTCCCACTTTACCTTCACATTATCATGGCACACAGTAGTTTTAATTTTTTTTTTTGGAGACAGGATCTCACTGTGTAGCTCTGGCTGTTCTGGAGCATGCTGGCCTTGAACTCTGATCTACCTGCCTTTGCCTCCTAAGTGCTGGGATTAAAGGTGTGCACCACCTGGCCAAGTAAAAATAAGGAAAAACTAAAAAAGGCTGTGTAGGTCTAGATCTATGTATTGCTATGTACTGCATCTCTGCGGGGCCTTACTGGCTGCCAGCACTCAGGTCTCCCTGACCTCTATTACTTACAAACCTCATACTCATGCACACAGACTCACCTGGCTGAGGGAGTGGTGGTGTAGTTACCTGGTGTTCTTGCCCAGTGCTCTCAGTGCTGGGAAGGTGGAAGCAGCACTACAAGCTCATACCCTGCCCTTCTCTGGTCAGCATGGGATACGAGAGACCCAACACTGTCCTCTTGAACCAACCAGCATTTGAGGTTTGCATGAAGTTACTGACCTCTTTCTTTTTTCCAGGGGTCTGTGATGTCAATCACCAGAATAGAGCCGGCTATTCTGCACTCATGTTGGCTGCACTCACTTCTGTGGGGCAGGAGGAAGACATGGCTGTGGTCCAGAGACTTTTCAGCATGGGTGATGTCAATGCCAAGGCTAGCCAGGTGCATAGACAATTCCAATGGGTGGTTAAGGTGGTATCACTTTCTACTTTGAAAACTTCAGGCCTCTTTTCCTTTTCTAGACTGGACAGACAGCTCTCATGCTGGCCATCAGCCATGGCCACCAGGATATGGTGGCTGCCTTGCTGGAATGTGGGGCTGATGTCAATGTACAGGATGCCGATGGGGCCACAGCATTGATGTGTGCCAGCGAGTATGGACACCTTGACACAGTTCAGTTGTTGCTGGCTCAGCCAGGCTGTGACCTAACCATCTTAGACAATGTGAGACACTAAGAGGGCCTGGAATAGTGGTAGTGTGTGCCTCTATAGCTCTGGGACCTAATGTCCTATCATCCCTCAGGAGGGTACCAGTGCCCTGGCCATTGCACTGGAGGCTCAACAAGAAGAGGTGGCTGCACTGCTCCATGCCCACCTGACATCCAACCACCATGCCTCCCAGGTAAGTGTGGTCCCCAAGAAACAATGATGGAGGACCTATTTGATGCTTAACTAGCAAAACCCTTAGGCTAGGACCAGATATATCAAAGGCACACTCTAGCTACCTGGTCTGGAAAATATTCCTTTGCTTTAGGGAAAAAGCTCAAAGCCTCAATTGAAGGGTTGCCCCAGCCTGGGAGGACACACCCAGTGGGTAGACATAACTCATTTAACACTTGTCCTTAAGCCCCCACTTGGCTGAAACTTTGCAGCCTTCTGCCTACAGGATCCCTTTCTTTCTTCTAGGGCCAGTCATCTCCAGGGTCTTCCACAGCCACACCCAGTGAAGGGATGCAGTGAGCTGTTACGTACGCACATTGGGACTATAGGAGAATGTTCCGTTTCCCGTCTGAGCTTCTAATCACAGGACACCTTACACAGTGGTTCCTTCTAGCTTCAGTTAGGATGTTCAGGGAAGGGCCTGAGAAATGTTACTGCTTTGAACCTACTCACTTCATAAAACATCATTCCTAATAAACCATTTCTATTACAGTTGTGCTTTGTGTGGGTGTCACTGACAAAACTCCCATGTGTAAGATGCCTATTGAGGGCTGGAGAGATGGGTCAGAGGTTATGAACACTGTTCTTCCAAAGGTCTTAAGTTCAATTCCCAGCAACCACATGGTGGCTCACAACCATCTATAGTGAGATCTGGTGCCCTCTTCTGGTGTGCTGTATAAATATAAAAAATAAAAGATGCCTATTGAAGGGCTTTCAGAGAGCACCAAGAGTGAATGATCACTACAAGCTTTTTATGAAGCAAAGACACTGCTCAGAGAAACCCAATCTAGAAAGACTCCATGTTCAAGGCCAGCATAGTTTAAAAAAGCAAAACCTAACCAGACAACCTAGACAAGAGTTAAAACAATGCTTTATTTAACAGTTGCAGGTGATCCCATGAGTCAAGTGGTGGCTATCCAGGACCCTGTAAATAGACTCAAGCATTAGATAGAGAGCCTTCCTTTCCCTACCTCCCAGATCCTTCCCAATGGTTGCCGTGTACACACCAGCAAGATCAGCGCAACCTCCTAGCTTCTCTTTCTGACTCCAATAGGGTGAGCACATCACCCTCTCGAACTGGGCCTTTGACGTTTCGGATGATAGAGCGGCTGGTGTCATCCATGAATTCCACACGCACCTACAGACCAATACAAAAGTTAGGTAGTGCTACTTACTAGTGTGGCAGAAGAGTGGTGAGATGGCTTGGCAGTTAAGAACATTTGCTGCTCTTAACCTGGATACATTTCCAAGCACCCACGCTACTGGCTAACCACCTGTAATTCCAGTTCCAGGGGATCTGACCACTTCTGATTTCTGTACACTGTATGAAGTGGTGCAGGCATATGAAGCGGAAGCACCCCCACACCAAGAACCTGTAACAATGAAAGGGTTTACACCAGAGCCTAAGAAAACAGGCTGCACATCTACACTGCTGGAAGGTCCTGTTGAGGTCTGGGAGAAACCCAGCAAAAGGAACAGGTGTCTTTTTTTCTTAAAGAAAGGTCTCATATCCCAGATTGGCCTCTGTGCTGATAGAAGGCATTAAGCCAGTCAGTAGCCAGAGCTGACTCTGAATTCCTGAATTTCCTTCTGGAATTACAAAGATGCTCCACTCCACCCCTGCTCTTTACCGATTTTATCTTTGTGCCTCCAACTACAGACACACTGCCCCCGAACTGGGAATCCTACCTTAGTCCCTTCTGTAATGGAAGATATGGGTATAAAACCAGGGTAGTCAAGGCATTTCTAGCCTAGGCTGCCCTTCCTCTCCTAGAGTAGTGAGATGTAAGGCACGCCCCACCATTCTTGGTTTATGTGGTGCTGGGAACCTAAGCCCTGAATGCTAGGCAAGCACTCTACCCACCGTGCCCCAGCTTTTGTCGGGACCAGAGCTCACATTCTGTAGCCTAAGCGTGCCTGGAACTCCCAGTGATCTTTATTTGACGATTGAAATTATTAGTATGGGTCACCACTGGAGTTTTAGCGTGAATGCAGATGCAGTCTTTAGGTTTTTCATATCGTTAGCAAGTCTACTAACATAGCTCCAGCCAAATCCACCTTTTAAAAAAGGTATCCATGTTTGTTAGAGTCATTACCCTCCACTGAGGATAGAAGTCAGGATTAAAGGTCACCACATGCAGCTGTAAACGTAAGTGTATGGAAGGGTTCCGACCCCAGGAAGTCGGAATATCGCTATCCGCTCACCTGCGTGCACTGTCCCTGCGAACCGGTTCTGCCCAGCACTTTGGTTACCTGCAGGGAAAAGGGGACAGTTAGATAGGCCCAGCGCTCTTCTTTATCCAGGTTTCTAAACACTCGCAGTCTCCTCACCCTGGCCAGCTTGATAGGCTGCACGCGACTCGTGTCCATGATGGCGGCGATCTGACGGAGAGGAGTCACGTGGGCAGGGAAATACTTTTATAGTATACTCTGGCCACGCCCTACTCCCACTCTCGCGAGACTGCACGCACTACCCAGCAATCCTTGGGGCAGAGTCGTTACCAGCGTTCTTCGGAGGGGAGGAAACATGGCGTCTGCTACTCGCATTATCCAGAAGTTGCGGAATTGGGCGTCTGGGGTGCGTGTGCCGTTCCGTCCCGAGCCGGAAAGGATTTGGTTTTCCCGCTTATCTCCCGCTTCACATCTCCTTAGTTCAGTGGGGAGTCTAGGATCCTTGAATTTTTGACTCCCATTAGTCAGAGACTCAAGGTCCTAAATGTTTTGGCCGGCTTTCTGGGATTCCCTTGTCTCCATACCTTGGCTTTAGATTGCCTGGCTTTAGTTTCCTCTTGCCCCACCCGCTCTCTTACCCCTTTCTCCCCGTATTACTGTCTCCACGTCCCACACAGTCCTGGAGTTTCCTCGTTCCCGTATCTCTGGATCTCGTGGCCCTAGCTTTCTCCTATTTTTGGAAGGTCGAGGATCAGTTTTTAGCTTTTGGAAGAAAACTAAAAGGGGAGCTGTAGATTTCATCAGCCCCTGGAGGTTGGAGATGTACAAGAGGAAAAGAGATAGCTATCTATGCCTTTTAATTTAGAGTCCAAGAAAGGCGGTATGGTATAATCAGCACCGGAGCTCAGCAAACAACTGTTTGGGTGGGTGGATCTTCAGAGAAAGTTTTTACCATAAAGTAAAGGCAAGCATGTTTACTATCTTGACCAATATCCAAAGACGATAAAGAGAAAAGATAAAAGGGAGGCTCTTAAAATTAGGTCTTGGAAGACCTAAGGCTCTCAAACTTAGCAGTAAAGTTCTGTAAGTCATGCCCCCACCTTTCTTCTTCATGTATATCCATAATCTGGCTGGCTACCCCTGTTCACTAATCTGGGTTCCCTACAATCTGACTTCTCTTCTCCTCCCACAGCGAGACCTGCAGGCGAAGCTGCAGCTGCGCTACCAGGAGATTGCCAAGCGGTGAGCGGGCCCTGCTTGCTGCCAACCTCAGCCCCCTCATCCTGTCCTTTTTCCACCAAACCTAAATCCAAGGCTGTTCATGGTGATACAAGCTTTAATCTCAGCACTCAGAAAACAGGCAGGCTGATTTCTGTGAGTTCAAGGCCTATTTGATCAGCATGGTGAGTTCCAGGCAAGTCAGGGCTACATACCTGAAAAACAAACATGAAAGAAAAGAACCCTCCAAATTTGCTGTTCTCTTGAACTTTTGGAGCATTGAGCAGAGATCTTACCAGGCTATGGAAGCAGAAATTTACTTTTAACTTCATTGGACTGTATTGGAATAGATAGATTGCATTATTTGTTGGTGTTTTGGGTAGATTTGCAGTTTTCACTCTAACCCTACACTCTAAGTTATATTCTCAAGCTCCTGGTGGGGCCTGGGGGTGGGGAATGAGACCCACTGGTTAAGTCATTGCCCAAAGTCACTTAGGGGCCAGTCTTGATTTTTTTTTTTTTTTAAACATTTATATATTGATAAGTCTTTTTCATGTCCTCAGACTTTTGGATGCCAGTACAAAAAAGAAAGTTCTTGGTTTATGGGGCTGGTGGCTTTAGCACCCACAAGCCCTTACCTCACTTTGCTGGGTTCAGAATGAACTCTTTGTGAAAACCCAGCAGAAGCCAAGGGGAGCATCTGAAACAGTACCCAACCTGCCCTCAAATTTGTCATTTATTGGCCTTATACGCTTGTTCCTGCTTCTTCCTCAAGTGCTGGGAATCCAGGAGTGTACCTCCATCCCCGGTTTATGTGGCACTAGGGACAGCTGAACTACATTTGAGGCAGGTCTTTATATGTTAGTTTGAGCTGGTCTCTAACTCTGATCTCCTGCCTTTTGCATGTTGAGTTGACTAGACACTACGTTTGTTCAGAGGCAAGGTCTTCCATTGTAGTCCTGGTTGGCTTGCAACTCAATGTAGCCCAGGTTGGCTTTGAACTCAATGAGATCCTTTAGGGGAGATGGTTGAGTGGGGATGTACTGGGATTACAGGCAATAGCCAGCAGCTTCTTTAGGATAAAGGCGCCCTCTAGTGATTCATTTGGGTCTTGGCATCAGACAAATGGTTCTTTTCATTTTCCTGTGTACATATGATAAAAGCTATGGCTTAGCATATATGTTCATGGGGCAGACATAAATTTCACATTGTCATTTTAGAATCTTATAATTGTTGTTTTTTTCTTTTTAAAATTATTGCATCTATTTTGTGTGTGGTTTGTAGATTAAAGGAAAACTTGTGGGAATAGTTCTTTTTTCCCCACCATTCAGGTCCTAGAGATTGAATTTAAGTTGTCAGGCTTGATCGCAAGGACCTTTACTCACTGAGCCATCTGGCTGACCATTTCTGTTTCTTTAAAAAAAACAAAAAACTTATTACTTTGTGTGTGGGTGTTTTGTTTGCTTTTGTAGCTGTGTACTACATGCATGCAATCTCTTGGAGGCCAGAAGGTGTTGGATATTTTGGAACTGGAATTATAGACGGTTGTGAATCACCATATAGATGCTGGGAAATGAACCTGGGTCTTCTGCAAGGAGTGCTAACCATTGTGCTGTCTTTCCAGACCACCGTTGTTTTCTTTTAAAAACAGGGTAACGCTATGTAGCTCAGGCTGTCCTGGAACTGAACTCTGGACCGTTCCTGCTTTCTTGCTTCAGTCTTTTGAGTACTGGAACTACAGTGGTGCACCCAAGAGTCTAGCCATATTTCTCTCATTTTATTATATTTTTATTTATTTATTTTTGGTTTTTGAGACAGGGTTTCTGTGTGTAGACTAGGCTGTCCTGGACTCACTTTGTAGACCTGGCTGGCCTCGAACTCAGATAGATCCGCCTGTCTCTGCCTCCCTGAGTGCTGGGGCATATTTCTTATTAAAAAAATAAAATAGCTTTCAAAAATTTAAGGAGAACTTCAAATTGCCAGGTAAATATGCTGTTTGACAATGTGGCCAAACAAACTAATCAAAACCAACTTTTTATTACTCACTCCCACCCAACTTGTCTCTGGGAAGTTCCTCTTTTGTTTGAAGTTCAGTGTTTCAAGGCTTTAGGCTTTAGGTTTTTTGGTAAGCCCAGGATTTAACCCAAGGGCAGACTGAGCTTTGTTCCACATAACCCCTCCACTTCCCTCTACAGGGAATGTTGGCACACATGGCAGGAAGTTCAGAGATTTGGATAGGTTCCCAGGGCAAGGTGTTCTTTGAGCAGTAAGCCTTTATCCCAGCAGGGTTCTTCAAAGGGTTCCTGAGATAACAGGGAACTCACAAGTTCCATAACCTGGTCTTTGGAAATGGGGGTTGGGAGAAAGTCACTTCAGTCTGGTAATCTGGGGCTCAGTACTATAATTGCTGGATAAGGGGTGGGCACAGCTTGGCACTCTGACCTGATTTCTTAAACTCCTTTAGGTAGAAGGAAGGCCACTGCTAAGCTTAGCTTTGTGTTGGGGATAGGAGCATGTCTAGGCCTCTCCTTTTCTTGGGCACTCCATACCTAACCATATTTGAGACTTAGGGTGATTGGGGCGGAACATGTTTCCTTAGCCTGTCTTGAAGGCGATACACATAGATTGCTGTCTGATGCTTGCTTTCCCTTCTAGACCCAGGTATATAATGGGATA